CAGAGCCAAGCTTTCTGTCTGATCCCTGTGGCCTGCACCATTTGCATGTGTGTGTGTGTGTGTGTGTGTGTGTGTGTGTGTCCTCTCACATTGTTTATCGGGACTCGGGCCTATGTGGAGCTTGGGGGTGATGTTAGAATCTAGACCTTATTTTAAAATTTGCACTCCTGTTTTTTTCAGGATTTATCTTTAAAAACGCATCCTTCAGATTTTCATCAACTAAAATTTGAACTGTTTCCAGGTGCTTGCTTCCCCCCTCTGGTGGGGTCAGCTCCTCTCCCCTGACACCCCAGTGTCTTTGTAACGGCTGCCAGTGACATGAGGTGTTTAATGGGTCGCTTAGCACAAAACACCACAACATTTCACCTTTCAGCTTGTCCCCAGCTAATCTGGTGCTGTCCCCATTTTTCCTGCATGCTCAGGTTTGAGCCAGCTTGAGCCCAAGCATAGAAGAGGAGGTTCCTTTACTGATGACATCAGCTGCTTTGGAGCCTGAGTGTTCTGTTTCCTATGTTGTCTTTTCATAGGTTTCTGGATTCCTGTGTTTTTTTTTTACGTGCAGGTGTTAAGTGATATTCTGTCCTAACTAGGAATATCTCTATGTGCTTTTTTCCAGAAATCTGTGTGTCTATGAAGGAGGATCTCACTGGTTAGCGACAGGACAGAGTGTATTGGCATGTGACTTTGGTGGAGAAGGTCCCTTGCTTTAGGCCCCTGGTGGGGTCTACAATCTGCACCTCAGGCTCCCCTTAACTGTAGGAGAGGGTTCCAGCCTGAGGCTTGCTGACCTCCCAGTCACTGCCTTTTGCCTCTGAATAAAGTAGTGATGGGAGGTAGCAGGTTCCTCACAACCTTGATTTTTCTCTTTCTTCCTACCCCAGAGATTACCTGGCCTAGAGGTTGGCGTTAGTTGAAGGGTTTGCTTGCATTGATCTCTGAGGCCTTTTTTGCCTCAGAAATTGCATAGTTTTGTGAAATGTATTCTCAGGGTTGACCCTAGACTATAGGAATTCTAGGGTTTCACGGATAGACAAGTGGAGCTAACGTGCCTGTGGAGAAAATCCTACAGGTATCCTTGGGCATGGGGAACACTGTACATGAGACACTGAACAAGCAAGGCTAGCTTGACTCCTTGGAAGACACCACAGAGCCTACATGGTGGGTTTGGATGCTGTGAGTTTAGGAGCAGATTGGTCGGATACAGAGAGCATGGGAAGGCTTCTTCAAAGCGGTCAATCCTGCTCCGGCCCGGTATGGTGCCATGTTTGGAGAAGCAAAGGCAGAAAGAATTCTGCGCCCCTCCATTGGCCAAGGGGATAGCTGCTGTCCACATCCTGGCTTTGTGGGGACCGTGACTTAGACTAGTGCTAAGGTACAGCAAGTAGACCAACTTCGATAGCCAGTAGTAAGGGAGTAGGATAGGGGTAAACCAGAGAGCCTGGAGCATACCCGCTGCCCTGCAGCCTGCCGCATGGAGCATGGGGCTGCTGGCTAATGGTTGCTCATTGTACCTTTGTCTTCTGTTGTGGACAGGACACAGTTCAGTGATGAAGACACACAGTCACCTTCCCAGGTCTCCACAACACATGTTATAGTTTACTCTGTAAAAAGGTGGAGGACACATGTGGGATTTTAATCCAGAAGTCCATACCCATTTTTTTTTTTTAAAGCTGGACACAGTAGTTACGTATTATCTTTAGTTGTGTAGAAACTGTCATTCCTTAGAGTTGCTATGTTTGTTGAATGTCAGGCAACAATTATTTTCTGTGGGCAGGAGTGCACAGCTCTTGGAGGCATTTGTAAACTTGGCGCTGAGTTGTCATCTCCAGCTTACTGTGTCAGCCTGGGAGGCCAGCCAGCTCCGTGCCGGCTCAGAGTCGCAGTGGGGCCTCCGCTGAGAAGTCAGGCTAAGGATGAGGAGAGCACTCCCTTCTCCCTTTGTGGAGTTTTTGGAGCGGAGGTTCTCTAGCCCTGGGAAGGCTGAGCCTCACATCCAGGCATTGGGGCTCTTACCAGGGGGTGCCTTGGGCTCTGCTCTTAGACAGGCTGCTGCAGCCTGGGCCTTGCCCTAGCATAGACAGCATTTGCCAGAGGCCCTGAGATGGAAGGTGGCGTAGTGTGGTCCCAGCTGGAGCTGGGCCTAGACAGAAGAACAGGGCAGTAGCCTGTGGTGTGACATGGAGTGAGCAACATCGCAGTTTCTCTTCCTGGCCCCAAATGAGGTACTGGGGCTCCCTGAGTTCCTCCTGGTGGCCTGGCTGAGCAGAAAAGTAGAACCCAACAGCCACAAGAGGGTTTTGCTTTGAAACCAGGCCTGAGGAGAACTTTCACAATTGCCTTTTAAGTTTTCAATTTGGATTATGAAAATAATTTGCTGCTGGAATTCAGATGCCAAGAGAAATTTGTCAGTATAGGTCTATGAATTGGAATGGCTTGAACACACAGTGTCTGCTTGTAGGACTGGGCTTATTTCTGCACAGAGGGACTCCTCTCACAAAAGTGTAGGACTCTAGAAAATCAACGGGTGAGTAGGGTAGTAAGTGATGTAGGTGCACACTAGCACATGTCTGTTACCAGGAAGAGGGGCATGGGAAGTATCTGGATGGAAGAGGGACGAAAAAGGCACACTTGCCTTTCTGCAGACAATGCCACAGGCAGAGGGACAGGGAGGAGGCTGGGGCCCTGCTAGGCTTGAGCCCTGCCAGAGCTCACAGCAAGTGGCATGGACTTCTATGCAAAAAATCCGTGGTGACACAAACCTCAGCTCAAGTGCCAGCTGCCCAGGGAAGCTGCCAGTGTGTGCCATCCTGGGTCAGTACTGAAGCTGTCCTGGGTGCTTGGTCAAGCTCCACATATTTCAGGAGAGCACCCTTGTCCCGTGGCTTATGCTTCGCGGATCTGGCCACGGCGAAGCTTTTCTCATCTGTCCCCAGCGCTTTGCACTGGTACGTAAACAGAGCCACTGAGTGATGGAGTGGCTAGGACTTCCCAAATGGGAATTTGCTCTTAGGACTGTTTAGTTTATATTTGTAGGATGGGTGAGGATAACTGCTCATAGCACTACTGGTGATAGATCTAAGAAGCACTGTCATGACTGCTGTCACTTAGCTGTCTGACTTCTAGGTCCTTTTAGATCCAAGCGGAGAGCGTGTGTTGACAAATCCACAAGGTGGCTTGGGCGCTGTATCGTCTGGTGTGAAGTGAGGGTCCTCAGGCTGCCGCAGGAGCACCCGAGTGCACGGTGGTCATCCAGGAGTCAGAGGCGGTGCTGTCCAGGTCCTCTGGCCCTCCTAAATCATCCTCCTGAGCCCATCTGTTCAGCACAGTCCTAGGAATGCGAGTCTGAAGGGCCCAATAAAGACACAGGTGTGGTATTTATCACCCTGGTGAGTGGTGAACGGCCTCGAGAGGTGCAGGGGGCTGTACGCTTTTTCACAGGCTGCACACTACAGGGGGAAGAGCCTGAGGTCTGTGGGAGCCCACAGTCTGCATCGGGGCTCCAGCGCTCCAGTATATTGGGTGTATGCCATTGCATGGGTCATAGACATTTTTTTTGGGGGGGGGTTCTTTTTGTTAAAATGTTTTAATACACTGGGTCTTTTATATTTCCAAATACATCTTGGGGTTAGGCTTCACATTCCACAGGATCATGCTGAGATTTTGGTATAGGTTGTATTAAATCTTTATATCCATTTGGAAAGAATTTTCATCTGTAGATACGGAGTTTCACCATCTATGGCATGGTGTAGCTCATTTAAATCTGTTCTAATTTTTCTTACCTGTGTTTCATAGTTTTTGGTATACAAGTCTCCCACTTCTTTGCTTAAATTTATTCCTGAGCATTTTACTATTTTTCACACTATTTTAAGAGGGTTTTCTTCTTAATTTCAGTTTTAGATTATTTGTGGGTAGTAGATAGAAATGCAGTTGAGCTGACACTCTGATCTTAGACACCACATCTTAGGTAAATGTAATTATTAGATCTATTAGGGTTTTTAAAAATTTAAAGAGAACAGAAAAATAGTAGATAAGACATTAGAAATGATACACAATGTTTTAAAAAATGAACTGAATAGGTATTCAACACTGGTTGTTATGTTGCACATTATTGTCTTCAGTGCAGTTGCTCTGATTACAGATATAAGCATGCAAAATTGGTCAAACTAAAATGAGCTTTGGTTTCTTACCTTGAATAACTGCTGGGCCAGGAAAGATGGGCTGTGTGAAAAACCCTCACCACACCATAGCAAGTTTCTTTGTGAGGGGGTAGGCATCCCATGTGTGAGACCCAGAGCGGGTTCTTGTCCAGTAGTGCTCCCTTCTGAGCATGGGCGCCCTCCCCACGTCCACACTCCTGCCGCAGACATTCTCTGTCTGCCTTTCCCTACTGCTCCCTCAAGATCTAAGCAGATGAGAGCTTGATGACCTCAGAACCTTGGGACAGCGGTAGTACCCTTGCTGCCCGTCTCCTGAGAGCCGGAGACAGCCATCCAAGGGCACTGGGGACCGTAAAGCTCAAATGGTCTCCAATGAAGCCTTCTTTTAAGTGCGCTCTACCCTGTGTGCATGCCATTGTTCTGATCCACACAGGACCTAAAACCCAGGATTCCTCAGCTCTGAGACAAAACACTGACTCGGGTCCAGGGAAACCTGAGTCCGTGCTTTGTCCTCTCACTCTGTGTCCATCAGTAAGTCTCTTGGAAAAGTTCTGTGTTGCCTGAGCCTAAATGTCGGCTGCAAGTTGTAACTTCTTCCCCACTCAGCTGTTGGCTGGTTGGGCGGCGGCTACTGGCGGGAGCTTACAAGGAAACCACTTGGTGCTGTGGCTTAGTTGGGTCTTTACATTTCTATCCTGGAGACACTGGGTGTGTGGAAACCAGAAGATCACCTCGGCGTGAGGCTGTCCTGGATGTTTGTTCACCGTACCTGATTCTGAACGGGGATTTTTAACTTGGGAACTGCTAATTCTGCTTTGCATTAATTTCACCTTCTTTTTACAGTATCCAAAGAGCAGCTTTGGTGGTTCTGGAAAATTACTACAAAGATTTCACCATCTATAACCCAAACCTCCTCACAGCTTCCAAGTTCCGAGCAGCCAAGCACATGGCCGGGTTGAAAGTCTACAACGTCGATGGTACGTGCCTTAAAACAGCGCCTGTGAGGTGCTTACCTTACGTACATTCTCATTTCAGACCAGTTTCTTGCTTGAGAAAAGGTAGGCATACATTTTCAGGAGGTTGTTGATTTACAGTCTCCAAATGTGGGAAGTGCATTCATTTGGGGATTTTTACTATTGAAAACAATAGTAATGTGTTTCCTGCTTCCTGCTGGGACCCCCTTATGTTGAAAGCTATTAGGAAAGGACTAATTTTCAAACTTTGGATGTAACTCAAAGTCTGAGAAAGCTACCCAAGTCCTTTCGGACTATAAATCACCACAGTTGGGGCACCTGGTTTCTCTGTGTTGGCTGGGAGCTGGGGTTAAGTGGTAGCAGGGGGCTGAAAACCAGGCGAAGGAAGTCTAAGCTGGGCTGGTGGGTATCACATGTTCAAGTGTGAGAAATGAGATACCGTGTCGTGTCTTGCTGGGCACCTTGGGTCAGGGCAGGAGCTTTGCAGGCTCCAAGGAGATCATGTCTTCAACAAGTAAGGTGATTTATGTGTAGCACCAGAGTTTAGTGGCAATATCCTCCCTGATTTTTTTTTTTCCTTTAGATGAAATGTATGACTTCTTGTGAATCCTGAAGTACTGGTAAATTTCACTTGTGACCTGGGAATTTAGGATGTTGCCCCAAGAGAAACCAAGTCTCCAGACGAATAAGTCTGAAAGAAAGCTTGGAATCTGCCATGTCTTTGTGACAAGTTAAGGTAGTCAGTGGCCAGGGGATGACATAGAAGTTCTAAGTTAGAATTAATAAATGGGCCATTTTGTATGTCCTTAACTAGTGGTATTTAAAAGTCACAACGGCCGCTGTGACATTCCAGCCTCGCTTGTTTTTCTATATGTAATCCGTGTCCCTTGTCCTTTGATTTTCTTTCTCTATCTGTCCTTGTTCTCCTGTCCCACTTATTCTCTCATTGTGATGTCCCAGCTGCCTTTACAGCCAAACTGAAACTTTGTGCAACAGATGACAAATGACATCTTCAGCACATGCCACGTGTTGTTTTTGGCTACAGGTCAGACATTCTTTATCCCCGTCTGAGTTGTTTTTCCGTTTCTTTCAATCAGATTGGGTCAGACTTCATGGCTCTTTTTATGGCCGTGGGGAATGTGAGGTCTTCACTCCTGTGATGCTACAACTAGGATTTGTGTGTGTTTGCTTCATAGTGGAAGGGTGGGCAGCACGGATCAACCCTGGTGCTTGTTTTCTGCTCCTCTCCCAGCACCTTGCATCAAAGCTGAGCCTCTCCCTTTTTCCTTCCCCAAAGGCCCCAGTAACAACGCCACTGGTCAGTCCCGGGCTATGATTGCTGCAGCTGCCAGGCGCAGGGACTCGAGCCACAACGAGTTGTATTATGAAGAGGCTGAGCATGAACGTCGGGTAAAGAAACGGAGAGCAAGGTACGAGGCCCACCCCCACCAGGCGCCTCCTTCTCGCTCCTATCACTGGCAGGACAAAGTTTTTGTTTACAGATGTGACTTCTGTGAGCCTTTGGAGTACAACTGCCTTGGACGTTCCTGTCCCAAGAAGGTCTTGTTAACCTAGATTCCAGGCTCAGCCCACCTGCAAAGGTCACGGTGCCATTTTGGTCCTTGTGGGATGGGACTGGGATTTTGCATTTCTAACAGATTCCCAGGTGTTGCCACCGCTGGACTGTGGCCTGTCCTGCTCCCTCAACCCTTGCTGATTTTCCACATCTGCTCCTGTTAATTAGAGATAAAGGACAAAGGCGGTGTATTAATCAGCTTTCTGTCACTGTGGCAAAGTACCTGACATAAATCAGCTTTAAAGAGGAAAGATGAATTTTAACTTCTAGGCCATTGTCAGTTGGCTCCATTGCCTTAGGTTCCATTGACAAGGTGGAAGCATCTTGGTGGCTACAGTGGTAGAAGAAAGGTACTCGTGGCAGCCACGAAGTGGGGTGTGAGGAAGGAGCGGAGGCATACTCTTCTGGGTTCTGTTCCTGCAGCCAGCCCTTCCTCCTCGCAGCCCATTCAGCTGTTAATCCTTTGCTGAGGTTGATGCCCTGTGATCCAGTTACCTTCCAGACCTTCACCTCTGAGTGTGTGAGCCTGCTGGGGGACATCTTGGATTTACACCATGTTATTCTGCCCATGCCCCCTGCCCAAGGTCATATCTATCTCATTATATGAAATGCATTTGGTCCATCTCCAGAAGTTAGTAATGTCTTGACAGTTCTAGCATTTCTCAAAAGTCCAAATTCAGTCTTCTCCAGAACTTAAGGCAAGTTCTTTGCTATAAAGCCTTCATAAAAATCAGAAAGTTAGGTCCTTTCAAGATACAACGACACAGCGCAGGCATTCCCATTCCAAAAGGGAAGACAGGGAACATAGAAAAGAGAGATGGGACCTCAGCAAGACCAGACTGTAGGAGGGTGGACATTAAACTTCATAGCTTCGTGTCCAGCACCCAGAGAACATGGTAGGATGATATGAGCTCCAAAAACCTTGGATATTCCAGCTGCTGTGGCGTTGCTGTTTGCAACCCACAAGGCATCTCTCTGGGGCTGACTCCACCCAGCTCCTGCTGCATTCTTCAGCAGGCATAATAGTGTTCTTGGTGTCGCTAACCTTCCCAGAATTTGCACTCCATTTCACTTTGACTAGTATAGCTTCATGCATTGACCTCTCAGTGCCTGCCTGTAGGAATACTGACAGCCGGCCTTCTTTGACATCGTTCAACTGGAGGCCTCCATGGTCCCACAAGTACTGTATTCTGTGTGCTGTACAGCCGGCCTCGTGGAGACAATGCCAAGGTTTGCCACTAACCATAGCAGGAGCTGGGGCTCCTGGGACCCTGGACACAGCGGCCCCCGAGTGCCTAGATGGCTGAATTGTGAAGTGAATCTTTAGGAAGCACCTTCCTAGGTGTCCCTGCAGGAACAGGGCACACTGATAGTATCTTGTCAGAGTAGTTTTCAAATAAAAGCTTTCACACTTTTACCCCTGTCAGACTGCAGGGAGTCAAAGCCGGACCAATTCTTGAGATGTTCTCAGAGCATCTTTCCTGTGTCACAGTGCAAAACACTTGACACTTTTTTTTTTAAAGGGCCCTAATCTTTTCAGCCACCCCTTCCTTTCCTCAGCTTTGAATGCCTTCTGGCCAAACTGCAAGTTTGTCAACTCTTTCCACTCTGGTTTTTGCTAATGATTTACACTTTAAATGAAGCTAAGAGCAGTCAGCATACACATGCCACGGCCTGAATATTTCACTGCTTTTCAGTTTCCTTTGCCAGATTAATTAGTCTCTCGTGTTTAAATGTAATCTCATTGTCTTAGGACATGGACAAAATGTTGACAAGTTCTTTGCCAGAATAACCTGCATGGCTCCAGTCCGGTTCCCATAGGGTTCTTATTCTTGCTGGAAACCTCACCAACACATTCCCATTGGCACACTCGGCTTCTGAATATACACTGTAATCGCCCTTGAGCTCTGCATGTGACATGCGAGAGCTTCTCTGGTCAGCATGTCCGAACCTTTCCAAACTCATCCCACCGTCTGGTCCCAAGGGCTTCTGAACATGGTCAGGTGGCGTCCTAGCAGTGACTTCTTTTCTCAGTACCAGTAGTCTGTGTTGATCAGCGTCCCGTCACTGTAACAAAACGCCTCACATAAATCAGTTTTGGAAAGGCACGATTTGTTCTAGCTCGTGGTTTTGGCGTGGCCAGGGAGTTCCATCTGCTTTAAGCTGGTGATGTGACAGAGACATTGTGGTGCAAGAGGGTAGTTGCTCACCGCATGGAAACCAGGAAGCAGAGAGGAAAAGGGAAAGGGGCCAGAGAGAAGATGATCCCTTCCGGGTTATGCAGCGGTGACCTCCCTCCTCCAGCAAGGCCTCACCTCCTAATAGCTATAATAGCTATAAACTCAGGGAGTTGCCGAGGCTGGTGCCCCATGATCCAGTCACTTTCCACAGTCCCACCTCTGACCACATGACCCTTTTGAGGGGCATTATTGAGCAACATTATAGCAGATGGTTTCCCTTAAGTATGTTATGCCTCTTCCTTCCTTTTCCCAGGGGCCACCGGACCAGGTGGAGTGGGTGACTAGATCTGGGGGCCCAATCTCTGGTTCTTCGTAAGCTGCTTCTGCACACGAGCTGCCTCTCCTGTGTGCAGAGCCCTTTTTAGACAGTTTTGAGGGGCCTTCAAACTCCTTAAAGCGAAACTCTCTTTTTAGAAATAAAAAATTGATTGGAGGTTCCCAAGTTCATCTTATTTTTGCTCTTAATTGTCTTTCTCCCTCTTTCCCCCAGCCCTTTGAAGAAGAGTGTGGTTGAGGCTCGCTAGGTTAGTGGCAGTGAAGTTAGTGGCAAGATCAGCTTAAGCAGGTGGCTCTCTAAGCCCTGTGGGACCGCTCTCAAGCACGGTGATGGGTTTCACCCTGATGGCGATGTCGTGTCGCTTCCCAGGCTGGTGGTGGCCGTGGAAGAGGCATTCATCCACATCCAGCGTCTCCAGGCTGAGGAGCAGCAGAAAGCCCCAGGGGAGGTGATGGACCCCAGGGAGGCAGCGCAAGCCATTTTCCCATCCATGGCGAGGGCGCTGCAGAAGTACCTGCGAACCACTCGGCAGCAACACTACCACAGCATGGAGAGCATCCTGCAGCATCTGGCCTTCTGCATCACCAACAGCATGACCCCCAAGGTACAGGCCCAACTGGTCACCACGCTCGGCCAGGCACAGTTTAGGGTGTCGTTGGTTGAGTAGCCTGATCTAAGATGCTTAGACCCTGGGGCCGGGGAGATGGCTCAGTAGAATAAGCACTTGCCAGGCAAGGACAAGGACCTGAGTTCAATCCTCGGTTCCGCCAAAAAATAAATAAATAAATAAATAATAAAATGCTTAGACCCAAAGGAGTTTAAGGTGTGGCATTATTTTCAGGTTTCAGAATATTTGCATAGATACAGCAGGATACTCTTGGAGGGAGACCCAAGTCTAAGCACAAAATTCACTTATGCTTCATATGTATTTCATGCACATAGCCTGAATATCTTTAATAATTAGCTTATGAAATAGTTTGTGTGCATTGAACATCAGACCTATAGTGTCATGCTGATGCCAAACAAAAAATGGCTGGGGACATTTTAGATTTAAATTTTTTAGGTTAGGGATGCTCAACCTGTACCAGGAAGGATGAAATCAAAGGCCTCTCCAAAAAAAAATCAAGTGGTACGAATTAGTGGTTCCTATTTATGACTCCAGTACAATTGTTTTTAAGTGTGTCTTTCAGAGGCCTCTGGTTTCTAACAGAACCACTCACCTTAGAAGCAGGACAGCACAGTGGTTAGGGATATTCTGTGTATGCTGGAGCTGAACTGACTTTTTTTTTTTTTTTTTTGCGGAACTGGGGATTGAACTCAGGCCCTTGTACTTGCCAGGCAAGCGCTTATCCTACTGAGCTATTTCTCCGGCCCCCCTGTGAGTTTATGAGTTGTCAATATTTTTTTTGGCGGAACCAGGGATTGAACTCAGACCCTTGCACTTGCCAGGGAAGTGCTTATTCCACTGAGCCATCTCCCTGGCCCTGAACTGACTCTTTCTAACCGGGCTTTTTCCTCCAACTAGCTTATAACCTGGGAAAATACTTGCTGGTGCTCAGCCTCCTTTTCCTAACCCATAAACTGGGGATAATAATCGTGTCTAACTCATTTGGTCATTTGGGGAGCTAAAAAATTAATTCACGTAAAATGTTTAAAATAGCACCTATCATAAGATAAAAGGCTAACTAAATAGCTACTGTTACCATGGAAGTAATACCATTGCTGTGTTAGGCATTTTGGATTTGCACAATCAGTTTTGTTGAATGGTCTTTTGGATTATGATATTAGTGTACTTTCTGGGATATTATAAGAAATATCGATGTGTATAGTGGAGAGAGGTGGCCAAGGAGGTAAAATAGGTTCAGGATGTAGCAAGTGCTGTCTCATCAAAGAATGATCTTGGCTGTACTAGTAAACTGATTTATGACTGTATAAGTTAACTACACACTGCTTTCCCTTTTATGAAATGGGGATATTACTAATATTTCCCCAGTGGGGTTGTAAGAATGACTATATATATATATATATATATATATATATATATATATATATATTTGTGTGTGTGTGTGTGTGGTACTGGGGATTGAACTCAGGCCCTTGCACTTGCACTTAATTCTACTAAGCTATCTCCCTGGCCCCACTATGATATATAAATCACATGGTAGAGAGTGAATGAGAGTGAATCAGACTGGCCAGATAGCTCAGTGGATTAAAGCGCCTGCTTAGGCAGACACAGGGACCAGGATTTGCTCCCCAACATGTCGTCGTGTGTTCTGAACAGCTTTGCAGTGAATGTCTTCTTTTCATATGTATTTGTATAAGTATTTCATTTCTTTTTTTTTCACATATTTATTTATTTTTATTTATTACATTTATTTATTGTGTGTGTGTGTGTGTGTGGCCAGCTCAGCCCACCAGGGGGCGGGGCTGGCTGGCATGTGGTGCTGGGGGATTGAACCGCGGTCCCTGTGCTTTGCCAAGCTTGTTTCAAGTAGGTGCTTTAGACCACTGAGCCATCTCTCCAGCCCCCAGTATTTCATTTCTGAAGGATCAATTTCTAGTAGAGAAAGTTACAGATTTTTGGAGCCCTGCCCCTTAGCTCAGTTCTTTAAGTGGCTGCTTCAACAAAGCAGTCCGGCTCAGGTTGCTGTGGTTCGGTTCGATCCCCACGACTCCAGCCAGCCAAAGCTGCCCTGAAGGCATTCGGAGCCGCAAAAAAAAAAAAAAATCCTTCTGCCTTGTTAGGATAGATATATAGTTACATTCTCTTAATGAATAGAGGGATTTGTTATAATAGTGTTTGTAAATAGGATATCATGTCCGCATCTTGCACAGCAATTAACCACTAGGAAGAATGTATGCAATGAGTTAATTATTGAAACTGTCCTACCAATTTGGTTTGAAATTGTCTCATTGCTATTTGTCTCTCAATAAAATTATGGGAAAAAAAACAAAAATAAAAACAAAAAACAACAAAGATAGATTTTTTTCTTCTCAGCACTGTTACCATTCCATACTCCTGCCTCTGGCAGCAGAGACTTTATCTTCCCGCACAGACTTGGCAGCATGGAACGTTATCATTCTTTTTAATCCTTGCCCTTGTAGAGAAGGAAATTTTAGTTAATTTGGGTTTTTTGTTTGTTTTTTTTTTAAATCAGAACCGGGGATTGAACTCAGGCCCTTGCACTTGCCAGGGAAGCGCTTATTCTACTGAGCTATCTCCCCGGCCCAGGAAATAATTTAATGTATGTTTCTTCAGTAACTGGTGATGGAAAATTTCTCATGTTAATTAATTTTCCTTTAAATTATTCTATAAATTATTTCATTTCCCTTGTTGCTTCTTTTTCACATGATTGATTGGAGCTGTTTTTATGTTAGAGGTACAGAAGGAGGTAAAGCCCCACTTCCTGCCTTAGAATAGATGCCCCACCCCCTAAGAAATAATATACCTGGCAGTAGCAACAAGGTGTAGATTTAAGGAGTTCCCCCTTTAAAATGGTTCTGGGCCTGTGTCTAGGACCAGATTAATAAACCTTAGTATTTTTCTGTTTGTACTACTGGCTTGGTGTTGCTTCTTCTCACAGCTAAAATGTTACACACATTTAATTCACACGCACTTGAGCTTCTAGTCTGTGCCCATGCACATTGAAAAGTCAAATTTCAAAAAATAGAGGGGCTGGGGCCATAGCTCAGTAGAATAAGCACTTGCCTGGCAAGCGCAAGGGCCTGAGTTCAATCTCCGGTACCGCAAAAAAAAAAAAAAAAAAAAAAAAAAAAAAACGTATTTTCTTCTTTCTAAAGGAGAGTGAAGTCTGGTATGGGAAAAAGCAACCAAGCTAACACTAAGAAGTCTGAAAGCAAAGTCTCACAGGAGAGTGTGCAGTTGATTATAGCAAGTCTGAGCAGTGTGTGTTAATGCACTGGAGAAGCTCAGAGAGGTGGCTTGAGATCTGCAGGTCAAGGAGGAATGTGGAGAAGAGTGTGTAGGCGGAGGAAAGGCACACGTGAGGATGTTGATCAGCCAACTCAGAGAGCAGGGTGCCCCTAGAGGGAGAACTCGGGAGACGGAGGGGGATGCTGGCCTGTCGGTCTCTTGGCCGGCCAGGTGTGCACACAAGTTCAGTGTGGAATAACCATCAGTCACCCTGATTGTGCTTACTGTCACCAGGCAGAGCTGTGTGATTTCTGAGTTCTCAACCTCCAGGGTTGGCGGTTGTTAGCTTGAAGTCTTGCAGCGTCAGCTTTCCGTTGCTACCATAAAACAGCCAAGAAGAACAATTGAAAAGGGGGAAAGATGGCTTTTAGCTTACGGGCTTAGAAGCTTCAGTCCGTGGTCTCCGGGCTCTGTAGTTTCTCTGTGGAAGAACAACATCGTGGCAGGTGGGGTGTGGGGGAAGGAAAGCTAGTCCCTAGTGACAGCTAGGAAGCAAACAGTGGAGGGAGTCGGGGTCCCAGTTACTCAAGGACATGTTCCCGGTTTCTCTCTAGCTGGACACCACCTCCAGAGGCCCATCAGCTGGAGACCAGTGCTTCAGCATGGGACGTTTGGGGGACATTTCAGATTCAAAGTGTAGGAGTAGCACTGGCCTCTGGACTTACAGAGAAGGTCCATCAGTCATGCAAAGTCGTAGCGTCAGTAAATGGTAGAGCAGGCACTTTCTTCAATGCGATTCTGGTATTCTGTTGATGCAGCAACCATGTGCCAAGCACCCCCTTGTGCCTGCACCCCAAGGAGCTTTCTATCTGGTTGAAAGAGGGAGAGAAGTACGTAGATGGTGGGCCTGGGCCCTTTGAGGGCTGGAGCATCAGTGGCGGCGTCCAGCCAGCCCCAGTGGTTTACTTCTGTGGGCAGCTCCAGCCCTCCTCCGCTTGGGCACTAGCAGAAGTGGGAAATGCCACTGAGCAGGAGGTATGACGGGGGGGGGGGGGGGCATCCAGTGTAGTAGAGCATGCGCTGGCTGAAGACCGTTAGTGCCTTGGGGAAACGTGTTCCCAGATGTGGGAAGAGCAGCACCCCCCCACAGGACACCCCATCCCACCCCACCCAACCCCGGCCGCGGTTCTTGCCTAACGCTCTGTCTGTGCTTTCAGGCCTTCCTGGAGCGGTACCTCAGTGCAGGCCCCACCTTGCAGTACGACAAGGAGCGCTGGCTCTCAACGCAGTGGAGACTGATCAGTGACGAAGCCGTGACGAACGGCTTACGGGATGGAATTGTTTTCGCCCTTAAATGCTTGGACTTCAGCCTCATCGTCAATGTGAAGAAAATCCCGTTCATCGTACTCTCTGAAGAGTTTATAGACCCCAAGTCTCATAAGTTTGTCCTACGCTTACAGTCTGAGACATCAGTTTAAAAGTTCTATATTTGAGGCTTTATATATAAAAAAGAAAAGAATATATATAGAGAGATATATATGTCCAGAGGGGTGTCTTTTAAAAAATTTTTTTATTCTTCATTGTTGACTGAAGCTGGCAGGTGACAGACCAGTATCCTATGACCATCTGCACTTTATTAGGAAAGAAGCAAGTCTGTCCACCTGGACAGAAGTGATTGGTGGCATCTGCCCTGCTCAGATGGGACTTCGGGAGAAGCCGACGCTGTAAACCAAAGTGGAGCCGCTGCGTCCGTGGGAGCCTCGCCTTACAACTAGTCCCTGACTCCCGGCCAGTCCCGTGTCTCCCAGTGCTTCTGGTCAACCACCCCACAGATTCTAGGGCACCCATCTCTTCTGTGTCAGGAACCCAGACGCCACACCTCGGCATGTGCGCCACGGTCTGCAGTGCCACGTTATCGTGGCCGTTGGAGCTGTTTAGGAGATGCCTGCCTTCGTCTTTGTTCTCTGTTGCCTTAGTTTCCTCAGAGAAAGATCCCAACCAAAAAATGCACACTGTCAGGTTACAGCTATTAAGTGATTCACTTTTATTTTTTTCCCAAAGAAAAGCCTACCTGCCGTGTTGCCGATCCTGTTCTGCTCCCAGCCCTGGGATTTCCCACGCTGGCTCCACTCCATCCCACCTACCCTAGCACACTGCTTCAGGCCCTCTGCGCAGTCTCAGCACCATTCCTTCCAGATTGTTCCATGGGGAAGTAGGGCACGGCCTAGCAGGTAGAAGCCAGGAGGGTCAGCCACTGGAGTGCCTGCTGTAGGCTGTAGCCAAAGCTTACCCTGCCCAGTCCTGTTCCCCCTGCTCCACACCGTGGAGGGGAGACTAACCTGTGACCCTAGGGTTGGCAGGTCCCCCTTGGAGCCATCTGATTTCCCAGGGAGGTGAGTTCTCACGAAGCTGCCTGCCCAGGGAGCCCAGACAGAGCCAGCCTGCTGGCATCTGCTGCTGTCCAGCCCTGTGCTTCCTGACCACCATCACTGTGCACGTTGGCAGCTCAACCACGTAGGACCAGGAAAGGATCTTGCGTGGCACCTGCCCTACTGTAGTCCCCAGTGGAGTGGAGGAGAGTGGATGCTGTGGAGTTTGGAGAAAAGAGAGCAGGAAGCCAGTCACGTGGGCTGGAGCGGTTCTTCCTTCTGTGATCTGTTTCATCCCAGAGCTGGTCTCAGAGGTGCGCCCGGCGATACAGCAATTTTTAAATAGAATATGAGCTGAATGTCTTAAAGAGCCCGGCTTCAGAGACACCTGAGGAGCCTCATCCTGCCCTTCGCAGTGGGTGCCCGTTGCCTCTGTTTGCCTTCCTCTGTCTTCAGTAAACCTCTAAAAAGTGTTCACCCTTCCCTTTCTCAGAGCTTTGTGATAGTCACCTTGCTTCAGGATGACGCTGTGAAATGCTCTTTGCATATGTGCACGTCACCTTATTGTCTTAGCATTCCACCCATGGTGCAGTATCTTGTGTGTCATTTTAACAGTCACAATTGGCTCTGAATGTTTTGTATACCTTTACCTGAAAAAGTAAACATTGTCCTTGAGTCAACAGCCTTCAGCTGAAAAAGATGCGTTGGAGAAGGAGGAATGAGAAAGCCAAGGCGTGGCGTGGAGCTGCACTGTGCTATCTAGTGACTCGGTTCTGTTTATGAAAAACACATATTGTGTAACCATGGTGCTTTTGTTCTTAGTTTTTGCCTCTAGCTCCTTTCAAACTGGAAGTTCCTTATGATGTCTTTCTCAGGAAATATTTTGGAAGATAGCGTAAGGGGTGGTGGATGTGTGTGAAACTAGGGTTGTGTGAAGGAGCTAATGTCCCAGAGTAGCTGCTGCGCATGAGCCCAGTGTCATCCGGGTAAGCCAGGCTTAATAACGATGCTCTTCATCAGCCCTGGAAAATGCTGTGCTTTGAGGCCTTTCTTAAATTGCCAGCCCAGAAGAGGTTGAGTTCGATTCATTCACTATTGCTTGTGCATTCCCATCAGGATGAGGACAGGTTTAAATTCAGGAACTTATTTTCTCTCTTTTTTCTCAGACTTTTGCATAAGAGAATGTCAGCCTTTCTGAAATTACTGTTTCTTTTTAAATTGAATATCGATTTTTTTTTTACACTATGTATCGAGTTCTGTTTGAAAGAATAGCAAAATGAAATGCAGAATCCTCCTAAAGCCTTTGCACTTTCAGCCTCTAACTAGTTTGAGTCACTGGTGCGGTGGGAACCAGGTAAATTGTATTTTTAAAAAGTAAGGTTCCAGAAAGCTGAATCACACAACTGAACGCAATAAATTTTTATTTCAGTTCTTGGAGCCAGTGGACTATTGTTTTTAAAGAGAGTAAACTGTACCCTAAGGCAGGCAGAGTATGCGTTCCCAGTGGAGGAAACAGGATTTCATTTACCTTAAATGTTTATAGATTTTTCTGTAGCTTTCAACTTAAGTTATTAAAATTCTAACATGAACTGTGAAAGAGCTTAGTGAGGAGTGTAGGTCTGAGATTGCTGTCTTCCTGGGTGGTGTTTTAACCCATAGATAATGTTTGCTGATAAGTGTATGGTTGTAAAAAAAAATACAGCAGTTTTTAAATAGAATATGAGCTGAATGTCTTAAAAAGTACTTTCTGGAGTAGGAAGGGATTTTAGGTTTCTATAGTTCATCCATCCTTTACATGGATACACTAAGTCTAGATCCATCAGCCTTTTATTGAGGTTCATAAAGTAAGCCCTAGAGAATTCTCAATCCCCATTTTTCCCCCCAGCTTTACTTCCTTTTCTTCCTTCCTGTCCTTCCCCTTTGAAATCCACAGAAAGGACAAATTCTTTTCAAGAAAGGACGAGAAGTAGGTGGCTCTGGTGTGTTTGCCACATTCATTGCTGGAGTTAGGGACGCCCTTTGAATGGCGTGGCTGGATGGGCTAGTGTGCTGGAGTGGGAAGGGTGTCAGCCCCTCCGTGCCATCTGTGGTGGCCTTCAGTTCTCTTGTTTCACTTCTCCTTATGTCAAGTGCATGCATTTATAGAATGGTTACGGCTCTGCAAGATGCCTCCAGTGTATTGAACTAGCAAAACTAAATTAACCGCCCCCTCCACTACCAGCATGGACTGAGGGGGTGTTCAGCCCCCAGAGAAACCAGCGAATCAATGCCTTGGTGTACCCCGTTCCGCCTGGTTCCTGCTGAGGAAGGCTTCCTGGGTGAGGATGTCCATTTGAGTGTGGATGCTTGCATCCACTTAGGTGAGCATTTTTCTGAGTATGTATTGCATGCTGGCCATCTTCACATCCATCGTACGTGAGGCAGAGAGGTGTGTATCTCAGCAGATGCTTGGGACTATATAGAAGTCTGAGTGTGTGTAGGTATGTGTTTCTACAAATGCCTTGTGTCTGAGGGTCTGCTTCACAGCCCCTGTCTTTTGGAAGGCAGTTCCAAAACCAGTTTCTTCTTTCTCCCTTTCTTTAATCCTTTCCCTGAGTTATGCTGGCTTCTTACCCAGGAGTAACGCGCGTTAGCTCCCCACTATCCCCAGGAGGCTTGTGTCAAGGTCCGTCCTATTCTGTCTTGCTTTAGGACCCTGGGACCCAAAACAGCAAGAAACAGAGGTCAGTGAAGCTCTATGAGAACTACTGCTCGAACTTTACTACCCTGGAAGCCTTACTATATATAGTATATCTTAATATAACTTAGATAAGAAGAAAAAGACAACCAATGATTGGTTGTTAAAAGCACAGAAATGTGGACATATTTATTTAACTAGCTCTGCAGCAGAGACAGACTTGATTGTAAAGTGATGTATCTCTGGGTAGTGTTTGTGCGTTATGGATCTTGTTACATACAAAAAAAGTCACTACTGTGAATTTATTACTATGTAACTTTGTCATATTCCATTATAAATAAAACACAGTTTGTTAAGCCCATAGTGCAGTTCTTGAGTGGTGTTCAGCACAGCCATGAGTTGAGAGAGGTTAAAATCTTCATCAAGTCACTGTATCAAGCTTTAATCAAATAGATGCTCAGAGAGGTTTTAGATCACGTTTGACAAAGCGTTGTATTTCGGTCATGGAAGGAAGGGAAGCATACGACCACATTTTCAAGGTATTATGCGTCAGCTACTGCTCTACACAGCCTTTGAATCCTCACATTCTTTTGAGGTAGGGATTATCTCCATTTCACAGGATTATTTCCATTTCCTGCCTCGTATATGGAATTTCAGATAGGTATTTCAGCCCGGTCTCTGCCCACTTCACCTTGAAGCAGGAGCTCAGGTTTGACATTTCTGGATGCAGAGGAGGAACTGAGAGACAGCATGAGTCAGGACCCAGGGTGGAGTGTGCCATGGGAGTCAGGTCTACACCCTGTGGTCCCTCGAGAAGCTTCTCCACTATGCCAGCAGGTTTCTGATGACAGTGGGAAGAATCTGAGAATGTCTTTTTCCAGGAAAGGCGGGCCCTGCTGGTGCTGCAGCTGCTCCAAGACCCAGTGGTGCCCCTGTTCCTGCAGTAGCCCCATGCTCTTGTCCTCCCTGCTGTCTACTGCTCCTGCTGGCATCGACAGAATGTGCATAGGCCTCAGGATGGAGGAGGCTTGCCGGGACCTGAGCTGGCCTCTTTCTGGTTTAGGACCAGGTCTCCTCCTCTCTGCATTGGCAGGAAGGAGAATAGTATCTCCAGGCGGCCCAGGAGGTCTGGATCTGGGGGCCCTCTCCGGCACCCCACAGTGTATTCTCAGCAAGCAATTTGCACCCACTGAGTCCCTGCACTTGCCCTCAGGACTTGACAGAACATGACTCCGGGGAAAAAATGTCCTCTGTTCTACTGCCCGCGTTGTGATTCAGCTGTCCGTAAGCCATCTTTCTCTTTCTCTGCCCTGATGTTTTAATGGGAGCCAAAAGAGTGGCACTCAGGTCCCTCCACCTTGCTTCTCATGCAGAAGTCAAGCTTTCAAAGGATGGGTAAGACATGTAGCATGTAGAACTACTTAGTAAACCTAGAACCTAGGGCCCTGCGAGTCCTTTTCTCCAGGTCCTGTCTCATGTCTGGTTAGGGA